TAGGGAGGGGTGGGTTCGGCGTTGTGTATAAAGTGAAGCATAACTCAGGCGATGAGGTGTATGCCATTAAAACAGTCACTTTTGTCCGTAAGTTAACTAATTTTACTATAATTTTTAATTGTAAATTATTTATCATATTTGTAAAACATTTTACATTCGAATAATTTCTAGCCTCGAGTGATGCACACAAACTGCGAGTACTAAACAGTATTGGCCGACAAAGCGCTGGCATTTGGCAGACAATCGCCTATCGAACCGATGAATGCGTTCGAGTATTACATATCGTGTGAAATATTCAAAGAGTTCTTAGAGAGCGTTCAATATCTTCACGAATTGAATCCACGGGTCATTCATCGGGATCTCAAACCGGACAACGTTTTGATTGCAAACACATTAATCGTTGATAACAATAGCCGGCGATTCATAAAATTGGGTGACTTTGGTTTGGCCACTGTTCACGACCCGAACCAATACACACACTCGGCTGTCGGCACTAATAAATACAGAGCGCCCGAAGTATCTCACCGTCAGTATAACCATAAGGCAGACATTTATAGTCTTGGTATTATAGGACAGGAGTTGTTTGACATTGATTTCCAGGCGTACGTATACAACAACTTTATTTTGTAACATATTTATTACATTTTAATTCAGTTTTATTGTGTTATATTTATTGCTCGGAATCGTTTGAAGCAAATGAATCGTCATTCAAGTCATGCATACAATGTATGTCTCAAATACTAGAGAAAATTGTGTCATATCCGCGATGGAGACAATAGAGGCCTGAGTGTCGGGAAGTGTTGGCCAAACATAACGAGTGGGCGATTGATAGGCAAACCATTATAACGGCTGACTTGATAGTCATATTAAATGGCCTTCAATTGTGTAAAAATTCATTTTTCTATGAGTTTTTAGAATACAAATCCTTATATTAAATTCACACACAATTTGCTTATATTGTAATGCAATTAAATATTTAATATTCACTCTTAATGTCATTGTATTCACATATTAAATACAGAAAATTTTAATTATAATTTTTATTACAATTGAAATTCCATTTTATAAAAATTTATTAATAAAAATATTTAATGAATTTTTGAAATTAAAAATTTATAAATAGTATATTTTAACCTTGGTATAACTTTGATAAAAGAACCCTTAGAATAACTTCGTTGTCTCTGTCGGGACATGTTTGGCTGAGAAACTAATTTATAGGAGGGCTCAGGTGTCAGCACTAGTAGGCGAGTCGACATTTCAGATGAATGCTTTGATACAGACATAGATATGTTGAGTGTGTGTTAGATCTAGCGTTTGCGCACACAAGACAATTACATGAATGACTTTGATGTCTGCTTGTGGACACATTTTTAATGCATTGCATAGTATGGCCTTTCTGTGAGTGAAGTAAGTGTTGGGTCTAGCGTTTGCGCACACAAGACAATTACATGAATGACTTTGATGTCTGCTTGTGGACACATTTTTAATGCATTGCATAGTATGGCCTCTCTGTGAGTGAAGTAAGTGTTAGGTGTAGCGTTTGCGCACACAACGACAATTACACAAATGACTTTGATGTCTGCTTGTAGACACAATTTGTAATGCATTGAATGGTATGGCCTTTCTGTGTGTATGTGGAGTGTATGTTTGGTTTAACGTTTCCATAGAAATAACAAAAATACTGTAATAATTATTTAGACTAAATAAACATTTTAATTTTATTTAAATTTATAGATTTTATTCAGTATAATCATCGGATTTACAATCTGTGCAAAAATAAACAATATGATCATTTGATTGCCATTTAATTCAAATAAATATGAATCCATCTATAAAAACATAACAAAACAAAATAATAATTATAATAAAATTATAATAATTACATAATTTAAAGCATTACTTCACTGTTTTTGGTGGTTTTAAATTCCTTAGGAATCTATGTATTGCCTAAAAGGGCATTTGCCACGAAAAACTCTTATTGCTCATCTATTGTGATAAATTCTGACAAAACATAATTAGATTTGCAATTATTGTTAAATTTAGTAAATAGGTCTCTGATTGGTGACAATTTATCGTCTGGTTTTTTAGAGATTCTATCATCAAAGCGCAGACATACACACAAAAAGCGAAAGCGTTTCAAAGACATCACTAAACGAAATATATGCCGTCCTCCTCCTGTTGATGACCACAATTCAATTGAATTTTCGTTTGCCAAGCGGTAAACTCCAGCTAATAATAATAGTCTCATAAACGCTAAAATCTCTTCAGCATTAGTGTCATCTAAATATTTTTGCCATTTGCTGTACTTTTGACTTCTAATAAATATTTCATTGTTTGTAAAATTCACAATATAATATTTTGTGGTTTTGTTTTAGATGTATGAGAAGAGCTCGAATTAGTTGAATATAAATCTTCATCACTTTCAATGTCAATCTCTTCAGCACTTTGTTTGTGTCTGAGGAGTGGTCAGATTCTTGTAAATCATCGACTTCTTCATCGCTTGAGTTGTCATTAAATTTGTCTTTATTTACTTGGTCTTCAAGTGCCTGTTGATTTAATACAACTCTTCGACTCATTTTAAATTAATTTAATTGTTGTTTATTCAATTAAAATGTGGTTTATTTTCATAACAAAACACACTTTTACACAAAACACATGTACAAATATAATGGATATCAATGGACACAAAAAACGTTAACTTTTATCCTTTTATCATTAGCCCCAAATCCCTATTTAAATAGGGATTTGGTGCTAATATTATAATACTATTTTGTTCACAGTATTTATGAACAAAAACCATGCCATACGCTATAAAACCACACATAGAGAAACCCATTATACGTATCCATTATCTATTACACGCAATGCAAATACAATGCATTGCATACACAGCTTAAAACTGTTTGTCTCAAACCAGACATGAAAGCTATGCGTGTATACTAACAATACTGGTGGCTGATGTGTTGCGCTATCTAATAACTGGCTTGAACAAAACACTGCGCACTGTTTCATCAGGATTACACCAAGTGTATACAGCGCAGTGGCAAATCAGTGTGTGAAAATGGGCACTCAGGTTGTAGGGGCGCGTCGAAATCTGCTATATAATGAAAATGCAATAAAATGTTAAGCGTTTAAAAAGTTACACGTTTGACTTTGTTATCCGGTTAGGGAAAGGACTTCTCTTTGAAAGTCCACTACTAGGACACCAGACATGCAAATGAAGTTTGGATTAATCCAAAATATGCTCAAATGTTTGATTGAGGAATAGCTGAAATTTTTTAGCCCTGATTTGTAAAACTGATTTTAGCCACCTATTTTAAAATCAAATGTCCCGACGGGGACACTCCAAGCCATACTAAGGTTAAACAAAATTTAGGCTTATTTTTTAATGACTTATTTTATTTCTAATCATTTTATTAATTATAAACTAATCTTATATTAATCTATTAGTTGTTTTAAATGTATTTATTGGTTAACTCTATGAATGTATTTATAACTAATGTTTTTTGGATTAATGAGTGATTTGTATTTTTAAAATGTGATTTTAATTATCAGCGATATTTGAGTCGCCGTTTCACTCATACAACTCAGTCAATAGCAACTGAGAGTGTGCTGTAGAAGAGAGTCTCAGTCAGCGGCACAACAGTTAGACCTATAGATGTGCGCCAAAAACACACCGAACTTACTATTAGTATTATGTGTTCGCGATATTGAATGCATGCTATGAACGCAGCGGACATTCACTATGCGATTCACTACAGCGGCAATGATAGACGTTTTGGTCATTACTACTCGAGGCCGGCCTTAACCCAGCATTCACTACAATATATAGTCGTTTTACTCTTAGAAATCCACCGAAATCGACCATTAAATTCATGCTCCATATCATCCATAGAGAGAGAGAGAGAGAGAGAGAGANATAAAATACCAGAACATTGAGAGAGCTATTAATAAAAGGTGTTCACAATATGTATGGATATATCATATGAATTGGAATACGAAAGGAATATAAATGAGTCTTAAGATGAGATGAAGAGAGAGAGAGAGAGAGAGAGAGTGAGAGAGAGAGAGAGAGAGAGAGAGAATATTTTTAAAATATTTTCCAACAAAATACTAATGACAAATAAAATGCGAGAAAAACAATTAAAATTCAATAAATAATTAATTGTTTATTAAATACTCTGTTGTTATCTGTGGTCACGAGTAATGTATTTTTGTGTTTCATCTGTTGTGTCATATCTTGGGATCAAATGAAGTGATTGTATGATTGAATTGTAAACAGACTGACATCTATTTGCAAATATTTTTGTTATACAGTATTTGTGTTAAATAGAAATGTTTTTTATACTTTTAATTACAAAAGTAATTAATATTATTAATATTTATTAAAACTATTAATAAAATAATTTAATGTTAAGTTCAATTACTAAACTATTTTTATTTATGATTAAATTTAGTTTATTTATCCGCTTTTAACTCAACTTTTGTGAAAATTGTATTTTAACAACTATTTCATTAATTATTTTAAATTTATTTTAATTATAATATTTATAATTACATAAATGAACAATTATAACATATTTTTCAATAATAATAACAAGTAATGAACAAACAGTTTAGAAATAAATCTATAAAATATAATACAAATAAACTAAACAATAATTAGAGATTACATCAAATCTATTTAAAAAGTATAAAGATTTCATTAATTCAATTGTATTTATAAATCGTTAAACATTTTTCTTATAATAAAACTTCTTCTCATTGTTTACACGGATTTCAATTGCTTTTAGTTTAGGACTTCTCGACAATAAGTCATAGAAATCATTGTCATTATTATAATTATTTCTGCTAAGAATAAATAAGTATTGAAGTCGTGGTAAATGTTTGTCACAATTAATCATAATATTAGTGTAAATAAAAAGTAAATCAAGCTTTTAATATGTCAATTGTTTACAATATCCCAACGGTTCCAAAGACTTGTCATTCATATATTTAGACCTGGAGTTCAATGCGAGTGACAATCGTTTCAATTGTTTGCAATTCACACCAATTTTACACAAAGTGTCGGCCAAAGAGTGATTCCTATAGACGTGCTCTAAATCGAGTCTCAATTTCCTTAATTGTGTTAATCGTAACAATTGTTGACCAAATTGTGTGACAATCTGTTGACTATAACAGTTCTGGAATGTGTTTCACGTGTTTTCTCATTCCTCGACAGTCTATGGTTTGAATGTTTGGACACTTTGTCGTGATTTTGCCCAACACTTGGGCGTCAATTGTATCTCCAGTTATGAGTTTATCAATGAATCTGTCTTTTAAAGTAATGTCGACAACACTCCCGAAGACTGTCCTCTGGAACTGTTTGGAGACTTTTTCCAATCGGAACCGGTTTTTGACCGAAAGTTTATAAGACAAGAGAAGTGCACACAAATGGTCATCGAATCTGTCCATTGAGTTCTTCGCGTAAATCTTAGGCTAAAATGTGAAACAAAAACAGTTAAATCCCATTAAAAAAGTTGTCAATTAATGCTTACAATACCTGTTGTCTGTTGTGTTCGTTGTCTTCAGCTCTGGTCTCTAGTGATGTCTTCGTGTGTTTCATTCCTTGGGATCAAATCAAGTGATTGAATGAATGATTAAAAATGTAATGATATTTCTTATTTGAAACAATACTTACTTATAATAAAACGTCTTCTCATTGTTTACACGGATTTCAATTGTCTTGAGTTTAGGACTCGAAGACAACACAGCATTCAAAGCATTGTCCGAGAGATCAATGACTGTCAGTGCGGCTGAAAATACGTGATAACAAGACATCTCAACGACTGATTCTTTGCCCAAAATGGGATCAATTGGTTGTGATCTTCTCCTGATGTGAAACGGGTCTCAAATGGCTGTCAATTCTTTGCCAATACTTTTCCAGTAGTGCTGTGGAAGAGGTCGGAGAGATCGTCGCTCTTTAGATGAGACAATCGGTGGTAACGAGTGATCGCTTCCCGATTTAAACCACAAATATTACTGATTCTTGTAATCATTGATCCAAACGTGAGGAACATTTGGTCACTCTTTGGCCTTAAATTGCAGTAAATTTGCCGCAAATGCCGGCAATTGTCTCGAAATATGGCCAACACTTTGTGAAAGTGTTTCTCATATTTGGTATGTATTCCTCGACAGTCAATGGTCTCAATGTTTGGACACTTTATGGCAATTGTGGCCAACATTTTACCGATAAATTCATTTTCACTTCTTTTGATTTCATCGTTGATATCAATGCAGACAACACTCTCGAAGACAGTCCTCTGGAACTGTTTGGACACACATTCGCAGCGAAACCGATCTTCGAGTGAGAGATAAGACAACAAAAGATACAATTCATCACCGAATCTGTCCATTGAGTTCTTCGGCTAAAACGTGAGACAAAATCAATTTAAATTCAATAAATAGTCAATTGTTTCTCAAATACCTGTTGTTTGTCTTCATTGCCGTCATCTGTGGTCACGAGTGATGTCTTCTTGTGTTTCATCTGTTGTGTCATATCTTGGGATCAAATGAAGTGATGGTTTGAATTGTATTTTTGTGACAAAAATGTCATAATATTGTCATTGAATTGAAAACAACATAAAGTGATGGCAAACAAGACAGACATCTATTGGCAAACATTTTTGCCAGACTTTGAATAATTAATTTAAATCATAATTTATTAAAAGTAAATATATTTTATTATTAAACATAATTATTAATGCAATTTTGAAAAATAGTTTTCATTAAAATTAAAATAAATATAAAGTTTGCATAAAAATTATTATTAATTAATGTTTTGATTCAAACATTTAAACTGTTTTTGGGATAAAGTCTTCAATGATTTCAATGTTCTTGAGTTTAGGACTCGAAGACAACAGATCCCAGAAATCATTATCTTTGAGATCAATGCTTACATAGCATTGAATGACAAGTGTTTGCAGAACTCGTAGTCTTGAGAAGTGTGACAAACACTGGCCGTCAATATATCGTCAATTACTGTTCATTTGCGAGCATTTGATCCATAATTGCGTTAACCTTCGGCCGGGAATCGAGAGATAAATCAATTGTGAAGTGAATATTAATTTCAATCGTTTCAGTTGTGGAAACACTTTCAACGGATCCCATGTTTGGACATTGATTTCTGTGAGAGGCGTCCAATGAGTAGTCAATGTCTGTCACATCGAAATAGAGAGATAATGGCCGTAATTGTGGCAAATGTGACACAATGTCCGCAAACTGTCATAATGTCTAGGGTTTCGGCTTTGATGGCGTGCGCTGACAGACGTGTCGACGACTCATTGTTGGCCACAACGGCGGCCAACAGTTCATTATCGCCGCCACTCCGACAGCCATTTGTTGTTCCCCTCCAATAGACTGCAGTAAATGTGTCGCAAATTGTGGCAATTGTCCCGAAATGTGGTCAGTATATGTGGTCCCGAAATGTGGTCAGTATATGTGGTCCCGAAATGTGGTCAGTATATGTGGTCCCGAAATGTGGTCAGTATATGTGGTCCCGAAATGTGGTCCCGAAACGTCACGTCTCAATGTGTCTATTCTTCGGCAGTCAATGATCTCAATGTTTGGATCACTTTGTGGTGATTATGGCCAACATTTGCGGGACATATCTCTCCGGTATTTGTCTCAAACATTCATCGCTGATAATGACGTTCACAAACACTCGCGAAGACTGTCCTCTGGAACTGTTTGGACACACATTCGTAACGATATCTGTGTTTCTGTGGAGAGAAAGACAGTATGAGTCCACACAAGTCATCACCGAAACCATCGAAAGAGTTCTTCGCATAGATTTGTGGCTAAAATGTGAGACAAAAATAAAATTCAATAAACAGTCGATAATTTGTCACTCAATACCTGTTCTTCGGTGTCATCTGTGGTCTCGAGTGATGCCATCGTTTGTGTCAACTATTGTGTCATATCTTGGGATCAAATGAAGTGATTGTATGAATGAATTATAATTGTTGTCATAAAATGTAAACAAAAGCAAAAATTGCATAATATTTGCGCTGAAAAGGCATTCAAAATAAACCGAAGTTTTAGGGCTTTTTATAATAACACTATTTATGCTATAATTTAAGGTTTAATACAATATATGGCTGCCCTTTAGAATATAGGCCTCAGCGGAACTGGTCGCCGAGTGTATATTTGAATAGCCCTTGGTCAGTAGTACCGAGGTATGGTAGTCCGAGTTTACGACGACAACTCGTTTTCGAGATATTC